CTGGGCGTAGGTGGTCTAGAGCAGATCCTCTTCCACCCCTCCCTCTTCCCCCTTTGGGAGGGGTTTACCCCTCCCCCTACCCCCTCCCCTGGACCTGGACGGGGGGGGCCGCGGGTAGTTAGAGCGTCCCAGATGGCCCAAGACGGCTCCAAGAGCGCCTCAGAGAACCCAAGATGAGCTCCAAGATGGCTCAAGATAGCGCAAGATCGCTCGAGATGGCTCCTAAGATGGTTCCAAAAAGCCCAAAGACGGCCCCAAGATAACTCCAAGTGGCCAAACAGCTCCCCAAGGAGGCCCCGAAGAGGCCAAAATCGTCCCAAAACCTAAGGAAAATCAATGATTTTTGCTTTCTCGCCTTTTCGCTTCCGATGGCATCCGAGGCCTGGAGATGGCTCCAAGATGGCCCAAGAGGGCCCCAAGAGAGCCCCAAAAGAGCCCCAAGACGGCCCCAAGAGCGCCCAAGAGCACTCCAAGAGCGTTCCAAGAGGGGTCCAAGAGGCGATTTTAGGGACTTCCGAGGGGGGACGCTAATTAAACCCCCCCTCTTGTTTGATCGACTCCCTCCAAGATGGCCCCAAAAGCGCCCCGAAGGCTCCCCAGAGCGCCTCAAGAGGGTCCCAAGAGGCGCCCAAGATGCCCCAAGGCGCCCAAAAAGCCCTCCAAGAGGCCCTCAAAAGACCCCCAAGAAGCTCCTTCCCTTCCTCCTCCTCCTCCTCCGATTCTTCCTCCTTCTCCGTCCTCCTCTTCCTCCTCCTCCTCCTCCTCTTCCCCCTCCTCCTCCGACGACGACGACGACGACTCCTCTTCCATCCTCCCCCTCTCGGGGTCTGTGACAGCTTCCCCCGCCCTTTGTTATTCTGCATGCTCCCCGACTTCCCTGATCACCTCAACTCCCCTGAGCATCGTTTCTGGATGGGCTGGTGGGGATACGCGAAGCGTCAACAATTCCTTCGCGCGGGGCGCTTTTCCGCGTCGCGGTCGGCTCTGCAAAACCAGCGTTTCGCTTGAGACATCCTCAGCAAATTCTGAAAACATGCGTTTCGCTCGAGACATCCTCAACTCTGCAAAACCAGCGTTTCGCTCGAGACATCCTCAAGAAATTCTGAAAAACAAGCGTTTCGCTCGAGACATCCTCAAATTTTAATTCGCCGGCCTCCTTCGACCTCGGTATTTATCAGGGAAAAAATTCGCCGGCCTCCCTCAAGTTGGCACCGGGGGACAGGTTTACCAATTACCTACTAAAAGAGTAACCTGGCCCTGCGGCCCACGCCCTTCCCGTCGGGAAAAAACAGATGGACCCACGAACCCGGGAAAGGATTATTAGACATGTGGAGAAGGGACACGTTTTCATGATACCCAACTGAACAACACCTCACGAAACATCCCACGAGGACCCTCTCACAAACAGCCCACGAGACACCTCACGAAACATTCCACGAGACACCTCACGAAACATTTCACGAGACACCCCGCGAAACATTCCACGAGACACCCCACGAAACATTCCACGACGACAGGCAACCACTCAACCAAGGCGGTGTGGGCGTGCTGGGGAGTGGTCGTGCTGGGGTGTGGTCGTGCTGGGGGGTGGTCGTGCTGGGGGGTGGTCGTGCTGGGGGGGTGGTCGTGCTGGGGGTTGGTCGTGCTGGGGCGTGGTCGTGCTGGGGCGTGGTCGTGCTGGGGCGTGGTCGTGCTGGGGCGTGGTCGTGCTAGGGCGTGGTCGTGCTGGGGCGTGGTCGTGCTGGGGTGTGGTCGTGCTGTGGTAAGGTCGTGCTGGGGTGTGGTCGTGCTGGGGTGTGGTCTAGTGGGGGTGGGGTCGTGCTGGGGTGTGATAGTGCTGAGGGTGGGGTCGTGCTGGGGTGTGGTCGTGCTGGGTGGGTCGTGCAGGGTGGGGTCGTGCGAGGGTGGGGTCGTTGCTGGGGGAGTGTCGTGCTGGGTGTTGGTAGTGCTGGGGGTGTGGGTTTCATGTGGGGCGTGCTCGTGGGCGTGCTGGGGTGGAGGTTCGGCTTGTGGTGGGGTCGTGATTGGGACTGGGCGGTGTTTTCGTGCTGGGGTGCTCCCACCCTGTTTGATTTATCGATCGGGGTCGTGGCGGGGGGGGTGTGGTCGTCGTGCTGGGGTGTGGTCGTGCTGGGGTGTGGTCGTGCTGGGGTGTGGTCGTGCTGGGGTGTGGTCGTGCTGGGGTGTGGTCGTGCTGGGGAGTGGTCGTGCTGGGGTGTGGTCGTGCTGGGGTTTGGTCGTGCTGGGGGGTGGTCGTGCTGGGGGGGTGGTCGTGCTGGGGGGTGGTCGTGCTGGGGCGTGGTCGTGCTGGGGCGTGGTCGTGCTGGGGCGTGGTCGTGCTGGGGTGTGGTCGTGCTGGGGTGAGGTCGTGCTGGGGTGTGGTCGTGCTGGGGTGTGGTCTTGCTGGGGTAGGGTCGTGCTGGGGTCGGGTCGTGCTGGGGTGTGGTCGTGCTGGGGTATGGTCGTGCTGGGGTGGGGTCGTGCTGGGGTGGGGTCGTGCTGGGGTCTGGTCGTGCTGGGGTGTGGTCGTGCTGGGTATGGTCGTGCTAGGGTGGGGTCGTGCATTTCGCTCGAGACATCCTGCCAAAATTCCAGGAAATCGTACAAAAGCAAACGAATTAGTCGAGACATCATCGAAATTCCTTCGCGCGGGGCGCTTTTCCGCGTCGCGGTCGGCTCTGCAAAACAAGCGTTTCGCTCGAGACATCATCGGCAAACTCTGCGGAGCAAGCGTTTCGCTCGAGACATCCTCAACGCACGAAAAAGTCAATCTGACACCCTGTGATTTATCGATCGGGATTTCCAAAAACAAGCGTTCGATCGCGACATCCTCAAATTTTAATTCGCCGGCCTCCTTCGACCTCGTTATTTATCAGGGAAAAAATTCGCCGGCCTCCCTCAAGTTGGCACCGGGGGACAGGTTTACCTACTAAAAGAGAACCCTGGGCCCACGCCCTTTCCGGGAAAAACCTTCTCGTGTGTCCCTGCTCTCCTGTGTCTGCGTTGGTGTAGAATCTGGCTTCAAAGCACGGGCGGGCCAAGTTCCAACCGAAGGCAAGCACGACAAACTACTCTGACCTTCTCTATATATCCTCAACACCCTCATGTGTTTGCCCAACTGTGTATGCCTCAACTGTCCCATCTGAACAGCAGAGAAAAGTCTGTCTGGAGGTAATATTCAAGCCCATGGGGGTGATGCGCTTGTGCAAGTGATCGTATCTGTGAGCTGGCTCTCTGGGCATGGCGGGCGTGGGGCCGTCGGATTCGCATCCTACGCTGCATGCTTGCGGTCACACGTGAAGCCAGCGGCACGCTTGACATGAAGCCTAGATGCGAGAGTACAGTAAACGGATCTGGGTGCATAGGGACCCCCTCCTCCCCCTGGCCTCCAGAGTGGGGTGGCCCTGTGGGGTTCGAAAAACCTTCTCTGCTAACACCTCTGTCGGGTCGGGGCTCTGCTCGAGCTTTCAACGCCGACTAGGAGGAGGAGGAGGAGGAGGAGGAGAAGGAGGAGGATGCGGAGAAGGAGAGAGAGAAGGAGAAGGAGGAGGAGGACGACAACGACGACGACCAAGACGCCGTCGAATGACGACGACGAGGACGACGACGAAGATCATCGGAAACGACCAAGACGACGGACGCCGACCGACGATGATGATGGAACTGGCGACGACGACGACGTCGACGACGGCGACGACGACGACGACCGACTAAGACGGCGACGACGACCAACCCCCCGACACCTCCTGGAACGCGCCCCCACAAAGACTCCGAGGCGAATCCGGCCGCGGCGCAGACCTTGATCCGCGACCCTCGCCGAGCGTCGAGGATCAAGGACCAATCGAAGATCCCGGGCCTCCAGGGGCCCTGGCTGGCCCTGAAGATCTCCGCAGGTCCCGGGAAGTCCCTGGGCGCCCCCAGAGGTCACCACGGATCGCCGGATGCCCGCGGAGGCCTCTCGACACAGGGCAACAGAGCTCGTAGAAACCTCGGTCCTCCTCCTTCGAGGGCGCCGACCGACGCCGGACGACCGCGACGCCGACGACCTCGGGAGACGACGAGGACGGCGGCGGCAGCGGCGACGCAGATGGACCGACGACGGCCAGGACCGACGCCGACGGAGAACGACGACGACAGTGGCGACGGACGACGACGGCCGACGACAACGGCGGCGGACGGCGACGGCGAGGGCGGCGGCGACGAGGAGCCCGGCACGCACTCGGCCATCCAGGCGAGGAGCGCGCTGGCCAGCTCGGAGGGCCTGTCCAGGGCGACCCAGCCGGCCTCCACCTCCCCGGCGTCGGTCCTGGGCCGCCGCCGCCGCCGCCCCCGCCGAGGAGGAGGAGGAGGAGGAGGAGGAGGAGATAAGGAGCAAGAGGCTTGGGCGCTTGGCGGATGAAGGGATGAAGAGAAGGAGGAGGAGGAGGAGGAGGAGGAGGAGGAAGGAGGGAGGAGGAGGAGGAGGAGGAGGAGGAGGAGGAGGAGGAGGAGGAGAGGAGAGGGAGGAGGGGGAGGGGGAGGAGCAGCACGAGGAGGAGGAGGAGGAGGAGGAGGAGGAGGAGGAGGAGGAGGAGGGGAGGAGGAGGATGAGGAGGAGGAGGAGGAGGAGGAGGAGGAGGAGGGAGGGAGGAGGAGGAGGAAGGAGGAGGGGGAGAGGAGGAGGAGGAGGAGGAGGAGGAGGAGGAGGAGGAGGAGGAGGAGGAGGAGGGCTTAGGGAGAGGGGTGGGTTCGGGAGGAGGAGGGGAAGCTGTGCTGCTGTCTTGGGGGCCCCCGGGGGCCCTCGGCGGCGGCCCTGGCCTGGACGAGAGACGCTCTCCCGGGGGACCTCCGAGGGTCGGCCACCGCCGCCGCCGCCGCCGCGACGACGAAGACGACGGCGGGAGAAATCGAACGCTCTGGACACTGCACAGAAGTTGCGGCCGCAGAGACACGGCCCATGTCCCAAGCGCGCTGGCCGCCTCAGCCCATCCTGGTTTCGAGCAGGTGTGGCGGAGATGCCGCGGCGATGTCGAAGCAGTGGTGGCGGTGCCTCAATTCTGTAATTTTCATGGCGTGAGCATCGCAGCTGCTGCTGTCCGTCGTCGGCTTCGGCCCCCGAAGAAAGAAACGCCTGCAGCCCGTGCGGATTTCTTGGGTCGGTGCTGGGCCCCCCGGCGCAGGAGGCGGGCCCAGCGTCGACCCAAAAGCTGTCCGCGCGGACCTCCGAACGTCTCTGCGCAGCCCTGCCCTCTTCGGCCTTTGGGCCTCCGCCCCCGTCGCCACCGCCGCCGTGCGAGTCTGCTTGTGCGGTTCCGCCCCCGTCGCCACCGCTGGATCCGCCTCGGCAACCCAGGTCGGGACAAGCTCCAGGAGAGGTCTGAGCGGTCCACCAGTCGGGGGCTTCGAAAGGTGCCCCTGGCCAAGGTGCCCCCAGCACGTCGCTCAAGCTTGGAGCCCCTGGGGCCCTCTTGGCCTCCGTAGAAATCCTGGGTACACCTTGCGCCAGGGGCCCTTCTAGCAACACCCGACCCAAGCGCCTTCAACGACCGACGTCGGGCGCCCGGGGAGAAGCCGCCCGACGGGCGCCAGAGCTTTGCGTTTGCGTTGTTCTGCCTACCCCCCCACGAGGCCAAATCGAGCTCGGACCTTTGGAGGGGATGGGCTCCCAGCTTGGACACGAGCTGATGCCCACCAGGATTTAGGCAGCGGGCCAGGGATACTCGCAAGGCACCTGCTCCAAGACAGAAGCAAACTGCGCGGACGTTGTGGGTCGGCGCTGGACCCCTCTCCATAGCGCGCGAAGCGCGCCAGGGGCGGCTGCTCCGAGTCCAGCGCCGACCCAAGAAATCCGCGCGGGCTTCCGAGCGTTGTGGTTATGCAACTCCGTTTGTCTTCGATGCTCGCAGGTCATGGGCAGGAGGGAGGAGGAGGAGGGAGGAGGAGGGCGGAGGAGGGCGGAGGGAGGAGGAGGAGGAGGAGGAGAAGGAGGAGGAGGAGGAGAAAGGAGGTTAGGAAGGGAGGAGGTGGGAGGGGAGGGAGGAAAGGGGGGAGGGGGAAGGAGGAGGACGAGGAGGAGGAGGAGGAGGAGGAGGAGGAGGAGGAGGAGGAGGAGGAGGAGGAGGCCAACTTGTTCAGAGAGGCGGACCCACGAGCTGCCGCAGCTACCACCTTTCGCTGTCACTGCGGCGCACTGCAGTGACAGTAGATTCCGTCGTGCTCACAGGAAAACTTCTGGATGTCAGCGTCGAAAACAACTCACGACACTTCTAATGCCAATTTCGCACGGCGCGCATCACAGAACACGCCGTCTATACTGTCCGGGGGCGCATCCAAGCGGCCAGGACGAGGAAAGGAGGGGCCGTCGATCTGGTTGCTTTGGGCTGGAAAGAGCTTCTGACAATGTACACATCGAGAGCTTGGTGGACGCTACGCGACGGCTGGGCATCCCGTCTGGCTTGCGCGAAATGGTCCGTGCGATGATGGTGCGGAGGATGTCCGTGTCGCGTGAATGCGACAACCAGTTCTAAGGCCGCAGTGTTCTGGTATCTCACAAGGGTGAACCCTCAACCCCCTGCGTTTCGTCCTGGTGATGGCCGTGCTAAGCGTAACTTTACGACATTGAGGAACATGTGGTTGCACTCGTCCTCAGCTGGGCCACAGAAGCTGCGCATCTGCACTTCGACTGTAGGATCAGAGCTACTGTACGGTTTGACTGGGTCGTCCTTCGCCGAGTCGCAGCTGCGGCGGCGGCACGCATGCAAAGACAGATGTGTCAGACAGATCACCGCTGTCAGACCGTCGTGGATTCCACGGATATCTAGGGCTCCCAACTTCGCGCTTCGCGCCCCGCGAAGCGCGAAGCGCGAATAACTTCGCGCCCTCGCGCCGCCCCCCCAAAGGGAGAATAGGAGGACGAGGAGGAGGGGGGAGAAAGAACGAGGACCGCGAAGCGCGAAGCGCGAATAACTTCGCGCCCTCGTGGGAGCCCTTGGATATCAACTGCCGGCGTGTCGACCCGTGCCAGCCACGCCACGGCAAGCTGGGAGCACCTCCGTAGGCAGATTTGTTGCTTGTCCGGTGCTGCGATGCGGGCCGCCCTCTGCGAACGTGCACGTTCGCCGCTGACCCCAACCCCCATGACAGCTGCATCAACGCGTAGCGTTGGCAGGCCCTACCTTGTGCGTGTGCGCTTGCGTTTGCGTTTGTGACATTTGTGCATTTGTGCGTTTGTGCGTCTGTGCGGTTGGGCGTTTGCGCGTCTGAGCGTTTGTGCGTTTGGCTGTTGGGGCGTCTGTGCGTTTGTCTGTCTGCGCGTTTGTGCGATTGTGCGTTTGTGTGTATTTGTGTTTGTGTGTTTGCGTGTTTGCGTGTGTTTGTGTGTTTGTGTGCTTGTGCGTTTGTGCTTGTGTGTGTTTGGGTGTGTGTGTGTTTGTGTGTGTTTGTGTGTTTGCGCGTATGTGTGTGTGTTTGTGGTTGTGTGTTTGTGTGTTTGTGTGCTTGTGTGTCTGTGTGTTTGTGTGGTTGTGCGTGTTGTGTGGGTTATTGTGTGCTTGTGTGGTTATGTGTTTGTGTGCTTGTGTGTTTGTGTGTTTGTGTGTGCTTGTGTGTGTGGGTGTGTGGGTGCGTGGGTGCGTGGTTGAGTGCGTGCGTGCGTGCGTGCGTGCGTGGGTGCGTGCGTTCGTTCGTGCGTGCGTGCGTGCGTGCGTGTGTGTGTGTGTGTGTTTGTATGTGTGTGCGTGTCGCACCTGGGTGTGCGTCCGCAGTTGGAGCTGCAGTTCGCTGCCCCTGCTGGGCTTTCAGCGGAATGTCAGCTTGCTCTGCTGGCAGCATTCCTCCGCGGTGGTTCGTCGGTCCACCCCACTTTGGGTCGCGGGGGTCGCTCGGTCCTCGCCGCCGTCGGTCGGTCGCGGGTCGGTCGTGTCGTGGGGTCTTCCACCATCGTCTCTCTGAGTTCATCCCTCATCCTTGCTCCTGCTGCACCCACCCCCCTCTCCCTTCTCTGGATCGTCGTCTCCGCCGCGGGGGTCTGTCCTCTTTTGTTTGAGCGTTGACGTTTCCCGCCGGCGGGTTCGCTTTGCTCGTCTTCTGTTTGGCTCTGTCGCCAGTTAGTCGGAGTGGCGCAACCCTTGCGGTGATACGTACAGTTTGGGGGGGCCTTGATGGTGTGTTCAATCTTGACTGGCTTTGCTGTCACCTGCCTCGCCAGTAGCCCTTCACGGCTCTGGTTGCAGTCGGGGTCTGCTGTTTTAGCGCTGGCGCCTGCATTACACGCTCGGCCATGCTCGCGCCCTGTCCACCACCCATGTGCGCCGCCGCGTTTCGCGGCTGCTGCTCGCTGTCGCCCGCGTTCGGCTGTTTCTGTTTGTCCATGGCCAAGCCAGCCCCGGCCGAATGATTAGACTTATCACGCCGACCTCATGCACCCGGTTGCACAGTCGCTTTATCCGTTACTTGCTCACTGCAAGGTCAGTGGCGTTGCTTTGTTGCGCAGCGTCCCTGCGTTTAGGCACCGCCACCAGGTCGGCTGGTCTGGCAACCTTATAGTTATAGCTCCTTCCTTTTCATTGCTGCCCGCTTGAGGCTGCAATTCGCACCAGACTGCTGCCTGCGCTCCAAACTACCCGCGTCGAGGTGATGTTCCTAGGTTTTTTGGTCCGCTGCACTTTGGCAATACAGCGCATCTCGTCTTTCACCACCAGTCTGCATGGCCGTGACTGGACTCTTTCATCATGGCGCGTTCGACTAAATTCGATCGCAATTGGCACCTCCACCTGCCGACCGCACCTGAGGTCCCTCTGCGCCACCGGCTTAATATATATATATATATATATATATATATATATATATGTGTGTGTGTGTGTGTTTCTGTGTGTTTCTGTGTGTTTGTGTATTTGTGTGTGTTCGTGAATGTGTTTGTGCTTGTGTATGGTCGTGTGTGGTTGTGTGTGTTTGTGTGTAGTGTGTGCGTGTTCGTGTCGAAGTGCGTGTTGTGTGGGTGTTTGGGTGTTTGTGTGTTTGTGTGTTTCTGTGTGGTTGTCTGTGTGCTTATGTGTATGTGTGCGGTTGCGTGTGTTTGTGTGTGTGTGTTGGAATGTGGTGTGTGGTCGTTTATTTGTCTTTGTGTGAGCTTGTACGTGTGTTTGCGTGTTTTTGTATGTGTGTGTTTGTGTGTGTTGTGTGGTTGTGTGTAGCTGTATGTGTTTGTGTGTGTGCAAAAGTGTGTGTGTGTGTCTGAGTGTTTGCGTGTGTTTGTATGTTTGCGTGTTGTTGTGCGTGGTTGTGTGTGGTCGTGGTTGTGTGTTTGTGTGTTTGTGTGTGTGCATGTGT